TAACATTAAACTAAATATTAATCTTTCTTTAAACAAGCAGATCTTATTCTTGCCTGTTAAATGTTAAGAAAGACTTTAAATGAAATAATCTTATTCTTAATTTAAGATAACAATCGATTGGAAAATTCCCTCTGTTCTTAAAGATATAAATACAATTATATTTATACTAAGATTAGTAAATATTGGTACGACTGGCCTATTCTTAAAAATATCCCCCACCTAGGAAAGAGTCCGACATTTTGGAAGATTGTTTCTTGTGTTAGTTAATATTTGGTTTGGAATTATGCAAGAGCTGCTAAATTAGCTAAAAACATATCATCGGTATGCCTATTGATTTTCTTTTTTAGGTGCTAGTCGGCCGTCTTTGACCTTGTCAAAAAAGAAAGCAAGCAAGCCGTGGAAACACATTAATTGATGGAAGAATTCCGCCACAAGCTGGCAAAACATTCCGCATTGGATAGGCGTACATGGCCAGCTAAACAAACAAACACATTGCTTTCCTTAGTATAGAAAAAATAGGTAGACTCGCCCATAAAGCACGTTCATAATGTTCGCAAAGCGATAGAAATGTTTTGGTCGGCTTGCTACAAAGTGTTTTGGCAACAAATAGAGTCATTTATTTCTGTTTCCAGTGACATTTCCAATTCGACACGCCGATAATCTATTCACTGTGTTCTAGATTTCGGTGACAGGCATGGGTACCTTGATTTTTATACCTTCTGCCGTTGCTTGGCCTAGCCACCCCTGACTTTGGATGAGCCCCTTTAAACGGTAACATTATCGGCTTCAAATCCGATTAGTCCAAAGCAGGTTGCAACGAAAATTAACATTTATAATTGGACATGGGTGCCCAACAAATAAATATGTTTTACTTGGCATTGTTGTTTTGTCAAAGTAGGTATTTAAGGCCGGGAATTATTAGATTAAAAGTCAAAGAGCAATGATTTTACAAAGTTTTGTCCAAAGTTTCAGATTGATTTATAATAGACAATTTTAATTAAGGTTAATAAGAAAAATTCAAAGATATATAATACGAACATTGGGACACCTCAGGGTAGTACTCTGGGTCCCTTGTTATTTATATTGTTTATTAATGATCTCCCCAGAAACATCAGTGTGGGAAAACTGTTTTTGTATGCATACACATACAACAATAGTTACATCATCAAATCAACATGTTGATGATGTAACTATTGTTGTATTTATATGGTAAGTGAAATTGTTAATTTAATTCAAAATGTGATAACTGAATTTAGTAACTGATTCTTTTACATGGATCGATTTTCGACAATTCAACTTTTTCTCATGCAAAATAACAAAATAAAAATTCGCGACACGACACCAACTAAAAGCCACTTAACGAGCAAATCTTAAATTCTCCCATATCGAAAAACCATCGAATTTAAAATTCCTATGTAAAGTGTCGTGAGAAGTCGGTGAACAGCAAACGTAAAAATCATCTTGATAACTCGGCAAAAACAATTTGTTTTGATCCCGAACGATGGGACGTCTTGTGTAATAGCAGCGACAATGCAAGGTGTCCCGCAGGGTAGCGACTGGGGGCCACATGCGATACTTGACTCGACAAAAGACGCGCAGGCGACGCTAGCTACCCCAAAGACCAAACACCCCCCGATGTCGTAATGTATTTTGGGGCATTCATGGTCAATCTATCGGAAAATTCAACCGCTTTTTTGGCGTAATTATGATTTTTCGGGGATTTTTCTTAATGGACCTTTGTGAATTACCCTATGTATGTATGAATAAGTATAATGCTTTTTGTAGGTAATTTGGAAAAAAAAGAATATATTAAATAATAGGAATTAGGGAAAATATTAAATAGGAATAGTTTTAAAAATACATTACGAGGTGTGTGAGGTATTTTTACTTGATTTTGATTTACCTTGGAAATCATAAGATTTTGCAAAAGTAAAACAATGAAATGAAGTCAAAATAACTGAGCATCACGATTTTCTATTATAAAATTTAGTCGAGGACCTTCAGTTAAGTTGCTTGTTCAATATTTCCTGTTCCTCGCAAAAACACTAGAGTCTGCAACTAGCAATACGTCCTCCAAGGAAAAAGGATTCACAAAGGACCTCGACGAAAAACAGAAAATAACTAGTCGTCCTTTTTGAGAGCGAAAAGCGAAACAAAAGCCGGCGCGCGAAAGTTGCTTATTCATAAAATCGAGTGGGTAATCGAATCCCCCGGCCACTTGATCGTCGAACGCGCCCGTGCTTAAAACAATGGAAAAGCGGTGCGCTGCCCGGTTGCCTACCCCTTACTTATCCCGAGTTTTCCGGAATTTTTCGAGTGGCATTGTTTCGATATCGATTTATTGCTTATTAAACACTTCAACAGTTTTAAATTTTATATAAAATATTTTTCTGTATACAGTATACTATATATAGTAAAAAAATATTAGTTAATCTCTTGTTAAAAAATTATTATAAGAAACAATATTTTAGCATAAAAAAGTATTTATCTCCACGCGGTCTATAATTTAAACTTTATTGTTGTCAACATTCGATATGGCCTAGCCGATAAAAAATTTTTTGAGGCAAGTAATTAGTTCGATTTTTTCTCGCTAGGGATATTGTTTTGACAAATTATTCCTTTTCTAAGAAATTAACGTACTAAACTGGTTTAATTTATTTATAATAAGCACTAATTTGTTTGTTTTACTGTTAATGTTTAATATTTTTCATTAAATTATTGCAAAATTAAATATGAATAATAAAACAAAAAGTGAGATTAGGCAACCAAGAAAACGCACGATTCTTTTTCTACGATTTAAATTATCTTTAAGTTTTCAGTGAAATTAAATATTAAACACAGCTTAAACATTCCAAACTACCCATTTTTTAAATAAAAATCCAAACAAATTGAAATTAGATACCTACCTATTTATTAAACAATTAATTGAATTCAATGTAATAGCAAAAATCCATTTCTACTTAAATCATGTTGCTAGGTATTGTCAAACTATTACTGCTTCTAAAAGCAATAATAATTATTGTGTACATTTAATGTAATCTTTAGCTAATAAATAAATGAGATTCTAAAAAAGTGAGGTTAGGCCGCTTTGATGTTGAATTAAATTGACTTTTAAGAGATTTTTTTTTTCAGTGTGTACGATAATCAGCGTTTTAGAGGTGGGACTGGAATTAACTATTTTTATAATAATTGCGAGTAACACGTCATTACTAAAAACACAACAAAAACTTTTATCGACCTCATCTTTATTATTTCTTAAGAACTCAAACGCCGGAAATGTTCAAATATTTTTTACGTACGTACACCAACATATTTTAGTATTATAAGATTTGTATCTGCTCAACGAATATATTCATGAAATGCACAAACTCGAAAAAGGAACCGAAAAAAAAACCGATGGCCTAATTAACGAAAAAATACCTACAACTTGTCCAGCAGCCATTTTCGTGTATTTATACGGAAATATTTACATAATAATTAGCATATTTAATTCCTTTTATCCCCCCCTTTTGCGTGATTAATGCCGTATTTTAGTACGGCTTAACATGGAAGAGCTTTATTAAGTCAACAAACATAATAAAAGTTCTATTTACGAGAACTAGGAATAATCAAAGGTGATAACTTTTTTTTTTTGCGGAACTATCCTTAGTTTTTTAATTTTTTTCCCGATCCCGATACTAATACTTAACGATAATTTGAAGAACTCTAATATTTATTGGGATCGAGAAAAAAATAAAAAAACTAAGGATAGTTGCAAAAAAAAAAAGTTACTATAGTAAGATTCTGTTCATATTAGATATGCGGTATGGCTGTATATTTGCTGTATAAAGACAACCGAAATGAGAGATCGTGATCGAATTGGACTTGTCGTGTTAACTACTGTAACTTGGTGGCGATAATTAAGGGATTTAAACAAGAAACAATGGCGAAAACACGTTTTGTGTAAACGACTTCTACACATAATACACTCACAAAAAGAATAGCCGCTTCGCGAGGAATCTCTTGCGAATGATCCCATTGGCCGAATTTGACATAAGGGGCGTGTTCGACCCGGACACGCCCTCTGTGTGTGCGACGAGGAAACATTGTGGAACATCTGCGTGCTCGTTAGTTCTCGATTGTTGGTCCCTTTGGAAAGTGCACACGCTCGCAGACTATGTGTTGGATTGATGATGGTGGTTCGTGAAAATATCGAAAAACGGAAAATGATAATGGCAAACACGCCGTTGAAATCGTTCACCATAAACTCGATTTTGCCAGAGACCGCGCTCGACAATCGCAGTAACACTCCGGACGACGAGAATGACAGTTTAAAGCAGGAAGTCGTTTCCGATCAGGAGATCAGTGATTGCGAATCGGAAGATCTGGATGTCACCGGTACAACTCCGCCACTGGACTGCTCCGGGAAGTCCAACGAAGATGAAAAGGACGGCGATGAAGAAAGTAAGTCCAATTAGACTCTAGAAGACTTAGCTTTGATGATGAACGTTGAAAATTTCATCGAAATCGGTTAAACACTGTTGAAGTTTGAACCTAAACATTTTACAATTTTTAAGGTTTTCTTTAAAGACATGTTTTAAAACTATAGTATCATTCATCAAAAACTTCATCTCTTCAATCATCCCAAGTTTGCCGTTAAAACGATGATATTGTTAACAATGTAACATCTTTCATCATGACAACCTAACTTTATACCATCAGGCTTCATCATCTGTATAAACCAAACCAAAAACAATACATTTATTTTGCATTATTTTTTCCAGATAAAGAAAAAAAAGGCACGGAAAAACCACCTTACAGCTACAACGCGTTGATAATGATGGCGATCAGAAACAGTCCCGATAAGCGGTTAACTCTGAACGGAATCTACGAATACATCATGAGAAATTTCCCGTATTACCGGGAAAACAAACAAGGCTGGCAAAACTCGATTCGCCACAACTTATCGTTGAACAAATGTTTCGTAAAAGTGCCCAGACATTACGATGATCCCGGCAAAGGTAACTACTGGATGTTGGATCAAAGCGCAGAAGACGTTTTCATAGGTGGTACCACTGGGAAGTTGAGGAGGCGATCCACAGCCGCATCGAGATCAAGATTGGCGGCTTTTAAGAGGACGTTATCGATGTATTCGCCCTTGCAGCACTACCCGCAGTTCTACCCACCCAACCCGGCTCTCCTGGCGGCCTATTCGAGATACAACCCGTTCCTGCACGCACCAAATGCAGCTTCGATGCTACCGAGACCGTCCCCAATGCAACCAACTTTCGGCATGGACAAAATAATCCCTCCAAACGGAATGGACGCTTCGTTCTTCCGACCGCCCCAATCGTTCTTGGAGATGTACAACAATCTGCGGTTCTCCAACCCCCTTGGCTACCCCCTGCAACTACCGATACCGAATTTGCCGTCTCAAGGTGTCAATTTGTCGGTAAGCAGTTGTCAGAGCAGCCCGGACTCGAGACCGAGCCCTGAGGGACTCCTCAAGCCAGTTACAGTGATAAGGAATAACCAGTGATATAGTGATTAATGTGATGGGAATAATAGCTCAATTACAGCTTATATCTTGCAGCAAGATTCTTGCTTGATATATAAAAGTAATAATCTTTACTATAGTAACTGAGCTATTTAAATTGGTTTCCGTCGGACTAAGTGATTAAAAAACATGTAAAAGACAAAATTACAATTGTATACTATTTATTTTTAGTGCAATTCTGTAAATAATTGTATAAAAACTTACTATGCGAAGTAAAATAATATCAAAACTTAATCTTTATTATTTAAAACAGTTTTCAAATTTTAGTTCTTCATCAGCAAATACAGTCTTTTTACTGATCATATCAATCTCTTCGCGTAACATTTTGCTTTTATTTGTTTACAATATATAATTTTTTAACATAATGTAATTTATTTGTAAATATATTTATTGTACCCAGTTTGAATGATTTTTGTAAATATGTGTACCAATCTATGCTATCCAGGACAATTTTAATTTGTTTCTTTGTAATATACTGTTAAATTAGAAGAATTTTTAATAAATTGTTTTTTAGTATTTAAGTATTTAATTTCAAAACCTTTACTGTACATTGTTAAAAATTTATTAAATTTGTGTTAAATAAAATATGTAAAAAATTACATAAACTTCCTAGTGTTTATAACATAAATGATATATATAATATATACCTATGTTACTTGATACAAAAATTATAATAATTAAAATCTTAAAATTTCAAAAGATTTAACAAACATTAATGTTAAATAATAATTTATTTGTACATTATAGTATAATAATTAATTTCAATATAATATATTAGTTTAAATACCTCCTAAACAAGTGTTAATCTAACTAAAATCTAACTATTTTGGAATACAATAAAAAGGACTGGACTGAGCAATTTTAGTGAATTCCAATGCTTCATTGATGGACTTTTTTTTAAATTATGTTGTAGTATAATATATTATTATTTTATTTTTTGTCCAAAAACCAATATTTAATTTACTTTAAATATTTTATTAAAATAAATAAAAATTAAAAATTAATAATGTAAAAATTAATTTAAAAATATTGTTAAAATAACAAATTAAAATAATTACATGAAGACATACTATTTGTGTAAAATCAATAGAAAGTTATACGTCAAAGTAACATTTTTTTGAGTAATTTAACATATTTAATTATGTTAAAGTTATATAGATTTTAAATCATATTAATTATTAGTTTAGGTTAAAATAACCAATAAAATTGACACAACACGATTTGTTAAATTAACTTGGCAGTTATGTAAAAAAATAACATACACTCACAGGCTAAATAATCGATCCACACAAATTTTCCATGAATTTCAATGGCAAATAACTTTTTTATTTGATGTCGGATTTAAACGAATATTAAAGAATATAGTAGATAAATTAATGGACAATCGCTCACATTTTAAAAAAATTACTTAAAAATAGACGTACGTTTATAATATACAGGTTTAAACAAAAAGATGTTTTTTACCATAACTTTAAGACACTCTGTAGAGTGGCAAAACCGTATATTGTTCTAAATTAAGTTTTATTTATCAAGTCACATCTATTCTTAATTGTTTTATTTTTGGTTTACCTCGATATACCTATTTATTTTTGTGGAAAATATGGATTTTTTAAAAAACATTGCAATTTCCAATATTTTTCTGTATGAAGAACTAAGGTTGCTATGGTCCATCCATAGGCTATGGAGAATGACAGTGACAGTTTCAAAAGCTATCAAATTGTTTTTTGCAAATTAATGTTTAAATTTTGAGGTGTCTTCTTACTTAAAAAAATTGATATGTCTCCGACTGATGTTGCCAGAGCCATTAATTTAATCCAGGATGGACGGTCACAGTATTACATGGCAAGTGTTTTAAACGTCACAAAAAGTAAAGTACAAAGGGCAACTTCAGTCGGAGACATTTTTAAAAGTAAGAAGACACCTCAAAATTAACACATTAATTTTCAAAAAACAATTTGATAGCTTTTGAAAGCTGTATATGACAAGTCCAAGTATGGGATGATTTAACAAAACTGTCACTGTCATCCTTCATAGGCTATGGATGGACCATAGCAACCTTATAGTTCTTCATACAGGAAAAATATTGTAAATTGCAATGTTGTTTTAAAAAAATCCATATTTTCCACAAAAATAAATATATCAAGGTGAACCAAATACAAAACTATAAAAATAGATGTGACTTCATAATTAAAACTTAATTTAGAACAATATACGGTTTTGCCACTCTATAGAGTGTATACAGAGTGTCTTAAAGTTATAGTAAAAAATATATTTTTGTTTAAACCTGTATATTATAAACGTACGTGTAGTAATTTTTAAAATGTGAGCGATTCTCCATTAATGTATCTACAATATTATTTAATATTTGTTTAAATCTGAATTCTTCGAAAATTTGTGTGGATCGATTATTTTGCCTGTGAGTGTATATAAATTTTCTTTTACACATTCTGTTGTGTTAAAAATTAACATAAGTAATAAAAATAAAAAAACTAAAAAAAAAATTCTTTTTACTGTGTACCTATTATTATTGATTTTTCGAAGAAAAAGTTGATTGATAATTAAAAACGCAGTCTGAATACAAAAATTATGACGAAAACTATAAATTTGATTTTACTTTGTTTTTTTGTAGGATGGAGAAAATTTATATTTTTATTTTTGATTTTTTAAAGGAGTTATTCTTTATAAAATGTTTGAAGCATAAAAAATACAATGTATTTCAAAAATGATAATGAAAATGATATTTGCTCAACACTTATTTCTCAAAGCTGACTTTCTAATATTAAGCGGTAATCCATATCTGTCAACGGCATGGTAATAATTTATTTATTTATCCAGACCAATTAACCATATTAAATACAAATTAATCTTGCTACATTGCGGGACTAGCAGATTTACTATAAACAATCAATAATATTTATTGTTTAGCAAAAAGTTCAAACAGAGAATTTGCATTGATTGAGCAATCAACCGAGAAATTAAGTAAAGTAGGTGAATACAAGAGAAAAATTTGAAATTTTAGAAAAACAGTTTTAGTAGAATTTAAGAAACAGTATTGTTTGGACTTTGGACAACATTTTTTAATTTTTATTGTCCGCTGAATCTGATATTTTTCTTTAAAGTTAAGTTTTAAAATAGAATACCTAAACTTAATATAAACTGACACTGACAACATTAAAAAAACATAACAAAACATAAACTACAAACTGAAAAATAAAATTCGTATAGCTAAATCTAATAATATTGAGATATAATTCAACATGAAGTGCATCTCCACTTATAATAGTACAAATGTCGATAGATTAAATATGTATTCAGCGACCAACACAAAAATTTTTTAAGGATGGAATTAAGTTAATATAAACTGAAAACATAGAATACAAACTAAAGTAAATAGTAGCACAGTAGGAACATAGAAAAACTTTTTATCCTCATTTGACCACCAGGTCATAATTATTGATTTATCCCAGTCCCTGAACAATTTTGCAAATACCTACCTACCCATTCGGAAAAAATAATATTCAATAATTACTCACCAGAAATGTGGTACTAACCTTACAATGATACACTTCCTAACATTAACTAAAACTGCAAACTGATGATGCAGATTGCAGTTGAGCGACCGGGCGGCGTCTTATTTCAAGCGGGAAATCATTTCATTGGTTATCTTAGGTGGTGTGATGCTTCACTCCCGAACAAATTGTCCAATATTGTAAAATGTATATTCTAACTCAAAGTTATACTATATTTATACGAATTATTTAAAAAATTGTACAAAAGAGTACATAACATTTATTTTTGAAATATTTTTAACAACTTATTTACTATTAGCATGCTTAATAGAAGAAAGAGGACATACACAGAGAGCGAGATAAATGTTGATTTGAGTAGGGTCGCCCATAAATCGAATGGATTAAAATTAAATCATTACGAAAAATTTCAGCATAAAAAATCGGATGTCAGTGTCAAAGTGGCTCTTTAAGAACAAGCGGGCGGCTTCTTTGAGTGTCAGTCAATTGTTAAAAGATCTATCTAAATACTTGCCGCTTTCTGATTCAACACATACTCTGCGTTTGGTTTTTAATCCCCCCCCTCCCGATGTCCCCTCGTTCTTCCCCTCGCCCAAAGAATCTCCATTATCGCTTTTACATCTCTGTTGCTTGTCTCTGATCTGTTTGATATACAGGGGCGACTATAATGTTGTTTTGAGGTTAATTCTATCAAATTCCACTAATTTAGCAGCTCTTTCATAATTCCAAACTAAGACAAGAAACAATCTTCCAAAATGTCGGGCACTTTCTTGAGTGGGGTATATTTTTAAGAATAGGCCAGTCGTACCAATATTTACTAATCTTAGAATAAATATAATTATATTTATATCCAGTATAGTTTTATATCTTTAAGAAGAGAATAGAGGGAATTTTCCAAAATTTGGTCTAATCGATCGTTAATCTTAAATTAAGAATAAGATTATTTCATTTAAAGTATTTCTTAAAATTTAACAGACAAGAATAAGATCTGCTTGTTTAAAGAAAGATTAATATTTAGTTTAGTGTTAGTTTTAGCTTTGACAATATTAGGTCAATCATCTTGTTTCAACTGTAATTTATATAATTCAAGGATAGGTTAATATTTAAAATAAAAGTGCGGTGTAGAAAGGGGTGTAAAATTAGAAATGTGATATTTTACTACTTTTAAAATAAAAATTTTATATACTGTCAACACTCATCTTGATTTTAAGCTAAAAAATTAAATCTTTTTAATTTAAGGATAGGTTAACAATAGATTTGTAGACAGTGCAGAGAGAGTTTTAGAAATGGTTAAGATTCTTATTTGCTTTGGTTTGTAAAAACTTTTCGACATAACCTCGTATCCTCAGCTCGAGCAGCGATCTCTTGATTATCATCTCCGGTGCAACGTCAATCGTTTTGACCGTTTGATGTATGACTCGACCGCGGCTTAAACATCTTGTAATACCTGTATATTTATTTATTCCCGCTCGCTTCATTTTTCATTTTTCACAAATACTTCTTACTTACTTTATACGCTTAATATTTATCGCCCATGCTCTCTTTATGCGTTCCGTCTACCGACAAAAACAGCTCACTTAATTAGAGACGCAAACGTTGTTTATCGGTCGCCGTGGAAACGGTAGTCGTGATTTTTGATTAACGATGCCAACGTTACGGAGCAAAAATCCCAATCAAAGTTTGTTGTCCAATGACAAAGAAGCCCAGCGTGGAAAGTAAATATTTTTGCTTGGAGAGTTTGAGTATAAACCTTTGGGGCTTCTGTGATAATTTAATTAAATTA